ATGTGTACCTTTACAGGGGCAGCCTTCTGATGGAAATGTGTCCCAGCTGAAACTCTGGTCACAGCTTCAGGAAGCTACGTTCCAAGAGTGAGGCACATGCCAGTGATGGGAATAGAAAAAGTGGGTGCTACCACCATGAATTCTTGGAGTCCTTCCTTCACATCCATTCTTGGTTAGACACATCACGGCAGTAAAGCCAGGACCCATTCAAAAGGACAGAAGTAAACTTGCTAAAGGTTCGTGTGAAGACAATCGGCCTTATCTTGAGAGGTGTTGCAAAATTTATTTTCATTTCTACATCAAGGCAGCCATCTGCTCTATTCCATATCGTTGGTCAATATTCTAGTTCCAGACAATTACTGAAATAGGATCAGAATACAAAATGTTGCAAGGGGAACTACATTCAAATTGGCTAAAACCAGAGGACAGACATTCACCCCAACAAGACCCATTTTCAGTGGGATTTACACACTCAGGCACACTTTCAGTTCTGAAACCTCAAGGGAAATGGAACTTGCTTCTGAGATAAAGGACATTCTGGCACACAATACCCTAATGGCTTGGCTATCATTAATTTGTATCGGTATGATCATCTATGACCTTTTATGTTAATACATAGGATATGGGTGCTGCTGGCTACCCCACCTGGAGGCAGTGGCCTGGTGGCAGACCAATCAGAGGGGAATAATCAGCACTCCAGTCATGCCAAAACCCTCATCTCTACCTGTCGGAGTGCAGCAACAGCTACAGGCTTCCCCCTCCCCAACGCCGTCACAACAGCAAAAACTCTGTTGCAAAAGCCATTTTTAGTTCCATTAGAGTGGCAGACATCTCATTATGTAATGCCCTCTCTCCTTTAACCCACCCTGGACCACAGTCCACTACGGCTTTGTATCAAGATCTCTGATTGGCTCTCTAGCTTCCAGAGATTGCCCACCATCTCTTATTGTGCAGGACACCCACCTCCTTGTCATTAATTAGCTGAACCGCAGCTTCCCACAAAGCGTGGGCTACTTACCACATTTCAGGGATGGAATGTTTGTATTCGGGGGCTATGTCGTGAGGCTCACAGGACCCAAACTCCAAGGACTGAAGGCAAAACTCTAACCTCAATGCTCAGCTCAGCCTTTACTTACGGGATTAATTATTCGTCAAAAACAATATCAAATGGCTAGAAGCACAAAGGCTGGAAGAATTGCAAGGCTTTTAAAGCAAACATGAGTTTAACATTTTTTTTATTAGTCATTTGCTCTGGTCAAAACTGTTATGTGGCAATATTCAGTAGACTCTAAATTCCTCTCTTCATCTAGCCGGATTGATTTGCGTTTTCCCATCAGCTGTTTGTTTTTCAATAGAATACCTACAAGTATGGAAGCAGGCCATTTGGCCCATCAAGTCCACACCAACTCTCCAAAGTGCACCCCACCTAGACCCAACCCCCTATCCTATATTTCCCATGACTAACACCCAGCCTGCACATCCCGAGACACTATGGGCAAATAAGCTAGCACAGCCAATCCACCCTAACCTGCACATCTTTGGCCTGTGAGAGGAAACTGGAGCACCCGGAGGAAACCCACGCAGACACAGGGAGAACGTGCAAACTTCACACAGACAGTCGCCCGAGAGTGGATTAGAACCTGGGTCTCTGGTGCTGTGAGACAGCAGTGCTAACCACTGAGCCACCGTGCTTTTTTCTTCTCAACTAGAAGTCTCCTGAAAGCAGGCCACTGTCTAAATCTTATCTGTTTTCTGATTCTTGCTTTTGTGGCTCATACTCTTTTCTGATTAACTTCTTTGTTTGTAAGGAACCGGTAACCAGACTACCCCGACGCCTCCACACAGTTCCATTTACAAGTCACATTGCTGACTCATTTGTTAAAATCATCACAAATCTGTGAAGCAAATGTGACAAGAAAACTTGTGCAATAGAATGCATAACAGGGATCCAGCACAAATGTGGTAAATTAACCCATTCTTGATGTGAAGGACCTGAGGTAATGATTTATGGAACATTTCACCCAAAGAAAAGGCCACTTGATCCACCAAGTCCAATCCAAGGTCTTCTCCATATGGACCAAGGAATCATAGAATCCTAACAGTGCAGAAAGAGGCCATTTGGCCCATCAAGTCCACACTGACCCTAAGAAGAGTATCCCACCCAGACCCAGCCCCCACTCCCATCCCTGTAACCCCACATTTTACCATGGTTAATCCATGTAGTCTACACATCCCTGAGCGCTATGGGCAGTTTAGCACAGCCAATCCACTTAACCTGCACATCTCTAGACTGTAGGAGGAAATCCACATAGACATGGGGATGAGCATGCAAACTCCACACAGAGAGTCACCCAAGGCTGGAATCAAACAGCAGCACAGCTAACCACTGAACCATCATGCCACTTTATTTTTACCTTTTTTTAAACCATTTCCTTCCTTGATTCCTGCTGAACCTGCATGCTTACATTCAGCAACTGGTGAGCAAGGACATCCAGGTTTCGTTGCCCCTCCACCTTCCCCAATCTTTTCCATTCAGATAATAACCTGCTTCTGTTTTCCCAACCAAACTGGATAACCTCACATTCATCCATATAATACTTCAGCTGCTGGCCATGTGCCCACTGAGTGCTCTCATTGTTGAATGTGCATCTGTTAACATAATGTTCCGGAAATGTTTAGATAACATCATGAATCAACCTCTAGTGGCTTGACAAACTTACATGTGAACTCACCAAGGCTCCTTAGGAGCATTGTTCGATCTTGTGAACTCTACCACCCAGTAGGAAATGTGCAGCAGATACATGGCAGCAGCATCACCTGCAAGTGCCCCCTTAATCCACACACCCTCCCGATTTGAAGCACCGTTACTTCATTGGCATTAGGTCAAGATCCTGGAGCTCCCTGCCTAACAGCCCTGTGGATGTACCTCTACCATAAAAGCTGCAGCAGTTTTACCTCATCACCAACTTCTCAAGAGAAACTAGGGCTAGGCAATAAATGTGATGCCTACATCCAGTGAATCAATAAATAAGAAAGTGATTTAATGCCTTGAAGCCTAGATCTTTTACAATACATTCTGAATTAATAAATTATGAATTGCAATTAAAAGTACCCCATTTTAAATAGACAGCAAGTTGAACAAGTTAATTGAAGGTGCTTCTACTGATATTACACTGTAAAATCCATATTGCAATGACATGGGATTGGATTTTACCAAATAGTGCCAAATTGCAGTACTCTACTCAGTACATCATTGATATACATCATTGTCTTCAATCCTTCTTTGTATCTATCAGCTCAATTTCCTAATTTCACCAAGGATAAAACTGCATAGTCCATTTCCAGGTACACCACCACATGTAGTTCAGAGTAAGGTCCAAATTGTAGTTTTAACAGAGGACGGGGAGAGCCACACAAAGGATATGGTTTGAGGGGTGGGCAGGTTTTAAAAAAATGCGTCCATGCGCCTCCATTTCTAAAAACCAAAAGAACTGTAGATGCTGTACACCAGGAACAAAACAAAGTTGCTGGAAAAGCTCAGCAAGTCTGGCAGCATCTGTGAAGGAAAGAAAAAGTTAACGTTTTGGGTCCAGTTCTGACGAAAGGTCACCGGACCCGAAACGTTAACTCTTTTCTGTTCCTTCACAGATGCTGCCAGACCTGCTGAGCTTTTCCAGCATCTTTGTTTTTGTGCTTCCATTTCTAAACTGCCTTCTGGCTTTAGCCTGCATTTCACGGGGTTTGGGAAAGCCAGCTGCAAGTTTGCTACTTGCTCGTAGACTCCGCAACTGAATCTTTAAGGTCTTGTGGCATACAATGGGTGGCACTGAAACTCTGGGTTTGAACCTCACCCCAGAATTTGATAGTCAAGAAAGATAAGTTCATGCATAATTGAACAGGTTGATTTTTAACTTGCAAGATGACAGGCATGGGAGAAATTCCTGGTCAGCCAAGTCCCTACCATCACTATCCAAAGTTCCAGTCTACAACAGAGATTGGAACAATGCACAGGTTGCTGCTATTTCTGCACATCATTGGTCAGTTTTGTCTGACCGAGCCTCTGCAGCAACTGATCACCACGACAAGTCTTCCCCCTCCAACAAGGAGCCTATCAAACCGAGTTTCCGGGCAGGAAATCTGGTGGAAACAAAACAGCCTCGGCATGGTGGGAAGCCTGGATATCCAGGTTTCCAGCACAACGCCTCCCAAAGCTCGGAAGAACGCTCCATCGAGATCATGGCCCACGTGACTGAGCGTTGAAGTCATGAACAAAAACCGACACAGTCCAGAAAAAATCAACAATGCTTTTAAAAGGTTAAATTGTGGAGTTTTTGGCAAGTTAATCTTGCATATCCTTTACATGCCTGTTTATGGATTCATGTTTGCAGATTCTTGTTATTCTAATGTCTTTTCATTGCCTCCCTGTTTTAAAAAATATCTACCACTGTCCTTCTCTTCCTGATATTGAATAAAAATCTTAACTTTTCCTCCCATCTTTATTTGTGTTCTGCTTAGGAACATTACTGCAAGTTTTGACAGAAGATTTATTTTCAATATATTACTTCTTTTTCTCCTTACAAAATGACTGCATATTTGCAGCATTCCCATTTTAAACATTCATTACTTTGTATGAGAATTGTAGAGTTTTATAACCACTTCCAGAACCTTGCCAAATCTTGGCTTAAGCAACCAGCTGAACTGTCAAAAGTTCATTTAATTCTAGGTTTGGGATCGCATTGGGGAATTCCATAAAATTCAGAAAGGAGTTTGGCACTGTTTCCAGAGGAGTTTTCAAACTTCCAGTTCTCAGTCAATGCCACAGCCATAATGGGGAATTTTGCAACCTTTTAATGAAGGCAGACAGAGTGAAAGTTTACAGATTGTTCTCAGAGTAGATTGATTTATGACTCTATAATGAAATCTGGCTCTATGCCAAGCTGTAGATGAGCTGATTTTGAGGAAATCACGTGATGACCCACCCAATATGTTCAACTATCCCACAGAATACAGAGTTCAGTGTCAAACTTTCTCTGTGCTGTCCAACTGATTCTTGCGACTGGAGAGCAGAGATACCAGTGTGCAGTTCTCAATCTCATTTCTTCAGAAAGGTTAGCCCTTACTATTTTAATGTGTAAAACTGTAACTGTCAAGAAGGAGACAAATGTTGTGATATGTTTTTGCATTTGACAGGACATATTCTGAGCAAAGGTAAGGTTTTAGGCACAGCATTCATGTTACTCCTACAAATCAATATTCAGTTTTGTCTGACCAATTCTCTTATTTATAAGAAACTGCTACAATCTTTTCTTTTTGTGTAACAATCAAATCAATCACTTACTGTTCATTCGGAGCTATTTGAAGATGTAACAGCACCACTGCTGATTTATTCAAAAGCGAATGTATAGTACATTAATTGTTCATGACGTTTAATCAGTCCCATATGTAGCAAGACTTGACGAATTCTTAGAATTAGCAATCTTTCAAAAATGATTCCATATGGCTTGTATGATGAACTGAAGGATTTCTTCATGTCCAACTTAGAGATGAAGTGCAGTCCCAGTTTTAAGTGTCCTACCTCATTGATTCCTTCATAACTTTAGCCCTGACTTGATTACCTTTACAATTTCTCTTCTGTCTTTCCCTCAAGTTCATTACCTTCTCTGGAACCACCACCTGCCACTTAACCCACACTCAGTTTTCCTCACAATCACTCAACTAGTGCGTGTAGCCTAATGGCATCCAGAAATCACCAGTTTATATACCTTTAGAACTGTTGTCATCACTCCACTCTGCAAATACTCTGCTGAACAATTTCATTATCTTGTCTATTTACAACTTCATTTTATCAGATGGTTTTAACGTTGAGCAACATTGCAGAGTGCTTCAGAGGTGAGGAAAATGCTCTCCCACTCTAAGATGCTGGAGTATAATCTCCTATAATATTCCTCTCCAACTTCAATTCATTCCATTCAGTCTTTTGCAACATTGATATCCTCCAATGGTTTATTTGCTTGGCCTGCATGATGCACTTTGTGCATGACCTATAACAATTCCTTTTGGTTATCTATTTGCTGGTCCTCAGTAACTTCAAGGATAAACACTACACCAATTTTCAGGTAACTTCACCTCTCTCACACGACCCTTAACTCCACAAATCCTGTTGGGCTTATTTAATTGTGTATTGTCACATCCTGGATATGTCAGACTTTTGTCAATGGAAGCCATCCTGTTCACCTCAAGCCAGAAGCTTGCCTTACACACCAAACTTACTCCTTTCCTGCCTGCTTGTTAGTTTGGGTTAGGCTGGCCCAGCTACTCCAAAACCTTCAAATTGAACAGGTGCTTTTTATTTAAAAGAATTCATCCATGGGATGTGAGTGTCACTGATAAGCCAGCATTTATTATCTCCCTCTCTAATTGCTCAAAGGGCAGTTAGGAGTTGATCACATTGATGTGGGTTTGGAATCACATTTGGACCAGACCAGGTAAGGATATCAAAACTTGACCATTAAGCCCATGAGCTAAAGAACTCTTTCCTGGATCCTTGACCTTGCTTACTCACTCCTCCCTTATGGGAGGCTCACCAGAACCAACCTTCTCAACCAGGTCATCCATACTTTCTTGCACACTTACAGCAGGGTCACTCCCATTGTCATTAATCTACTTGGAACTTCTGTGTTATTTAAGGGCATGTTCAAATTTATATTCTTATTTTCTTCAGCCAGCCAAATACATGCAACACAATGAATCTTAGACTTCAGGCTACAGCTCAGATTACAGCACTCTTCCTACTTCAACTTTTCTTGAGGAGCAAACGTGAGCACTGAAATTTGTTTTATTGATAAATTAATTGAATTCATTGCATTAAGTCATTCTAACATTGGATGAGAACTTTTTTTTTGAAACGGTAACCTGACCAGTTTTCTTTTCTTCTTAATTCTTTTGCCTCACCTAGTTGAGGCAGCAACATTACCGCTGAGATGCCAGTGTGTTCATTCAATTAATGGCCTGAATCCCAAAGCAATCAAGAACTTTCAGATATTTCCAAGAACAGCTCACTGCAGCAGAACTGAAATTATGTAAGTACTGCATGTCTTAGCATTGGTTTGCAAACAATGATTATGTAAAACGAGAACACACAGACTACTTTGCTTCTCCCTTTCTCGGGTGATTGCCAGAGTATCGATTTATTGCAGCTGCTCAAAGGCCATCATAGTTGAGCTTGATCATTTCCTCACGTGATACCCAAAGGTGGAAACTGGAAGGAGGGTTTGCTGGAGACTGAGTGGGAATGGTAGCCCTAACAAAAACCAAAAATGTCCATTCAAATTCAGGGAGAGGGTGGTGTGTGTATGGAATGCATTGCCAGAGGCAGTGGTGGAGGCTGGTACAATTAGAACATTTAAAAGGCGTCTGGATGGGTATATGAATAGGAAGGGTTCAGAGGGATATGGGCCAAACGCTGGCAAATGCGACTAGATTAATTTAGGATATCTGGTCGGCATGAACGAGTTGAACTTGAGGGTCTGTTTCCATGCTGTACAACTCTATGACTCTAAATCTGAATGCCCGCATTGCTCCCTCTCTAAACTCAGCATTCTTCAGCTCCTGAACCCGACACCTTCCTGGTCTGATATTAGAATATCAGTTCACTGGATAAGTTTACATGAGCCATCAGGAAAGACCTTGTGAGAATTACCTTCTAATAGGGTTTTGTGGTGCTGTTCAATTGCGCCTGGGAGGTTCACATTGAAGCAATTGTGATAGTGTTATTGACAGTGAGCAGCAGGGAGACAGGCTGACACTTTGTACCTCACTCAGGATTCTAGGTGCACAGCTTTGCACATATGGAAAAGTCCCTTTCGTGTCTGCATGGGACAAGTATCTGAGAAATTCTTACCATTCCTGCAGATCCACTTGCTTGCAATACTAAAGACAAATATTACCAAGGAACGACATGGCATTCCTCTAAACTATAGCAAACTAGATGCACTTAAAACTGCAGCCAATTGAAATGTGTTGACTACACTGGAGAAAGAATGTAACCAGGCAATGGAAAGTCTGGCCAGATTGTATAAAGTGTTCCAAGTAACACTAAAATGGAGAGAGGGAAAATCAGACATTGAACATCAATATGCTAAGCAATTGCAGTTCTAATGTTAAGGAAATAAAGATATCAGCTAACTTCCAGCACTAAACAACTCAACATAGTTTGCAGCCTGTTTCAAACAATTGCTGCTCTGCTCAACACAGTGTTCTCCACTGAGACCATGCAACAACCTCTTCTATGTAATTTCCAGGAATTATCAGGAATTTAATAAAGAATTTCCATTGAAAGGAAATTATATATAAGTACTACATACTTTCACAGATTATTCATGCAACCAATGTAATTGGCAAAGACCAGAATCTTGGGTTTAGCTGAGGCTGAAACTAGGTAATTTCAGAAGAAGTGATTGAATTAGGAAGTGAATATTGGAATATGTGAAAAATTATGGATTTGGCAGATGACCAATTTAGCTGGATTTATGTTGTTGATTATTGTGTATTTCTGACTGCCGGAGCCACTTATGTGAGGACAGAATACAAAAGAAGACTGAACTTGAATTCTGAAGTGCTTCACAACGAGTTAATATTTTTGAAAAGTGGTTAGTGTTGTAAAGTAAGAAACAAGAGCAAAAACGTGCAAAATAAGAATCATTGCGAAAACATAAATGAACAGAAAATCTGTTTTAGTGATGTTGGATGAATGTGGGTCAAGATACCCAGAAAATGCCCTAGAAACAAAAACAGAAATTGCAGGAGAATTTCAGCAGGTCTGGCAGCATCTGTGGAGAGAAAACAGTCCTAATGTTTCATGACACTTCTTTAGAACTATTCAGGACAGCCAGGAGAACAGTAAAGGGAGGGGAAAGACTTCTAGTTTTAAAGTGCATTTATTTCAATGCACGAGGCCTGACTGGTAAGGCAGATGAGCTCAGAGAATATTGGCTTCAGGGACTGGGATATCATAGCCATAACAGAAACACGGCTGAGAGAAGGGCAGGACTGGCCTGGACAGGACTGGTTCCAGGATACAGAAGCTACAGGCGTCACAGAAGTACAAGTAACTGAAGAGGGGGAGTTGCCCTTTTGATAAGGGAGGACATAACAACAGTGCTTAGGGAGGATATTCTTAAGGGGTCATCAATTGAGGCCATATGGTTAGAACTTAGAAACAAGAAGGGGATGGTCACTCTGTTGGGGGGGTATTATAGATGCCCAAATAGCCAGCGGGTACTAGAGATGCAGACATGTAGAGAGAATGCAGATACCTGTAGGAATATTAGAGTAGTATTGGTTGGAGATTTTAATTTCCCCCTGTATTGACTGGGCCACCCAGAGTGTAAAAGGCCTGGACAGGGTGGAATTTGTCAAATATGTCCAAGAAAGTTTCCTAAATCAGGATTTAGAGGGCCCTACTCGGGAGGGTGCAACGCTGGACCTCCTTTTAGGAAATGAGGTTGGGCAAGTGACTGAAGTGTCAGTCAGAGAGAACTTTGGGTCCAGTGACCATAACTCTCCTCGTTTTAACATAGTTATGGAAACAGATAAGACATGTCCACAGATTAAGGTGCTGAACTGGAGCAGGACGTGCGATGCAGGGTGAGCTAGTGAATTTGATTCAAAATTGGCTCAATGGTAGGAAACAGAGAGTGATGGTTGAAGGTTGTTTCTCGGACTGGAGGCCTGTGACTAGTGCGTGCCACAGGGGTCAGTGCTGGGACCTTTGTTATTTGTTATTTACATAAATGATCTGATGTGAATGTACAAGGCATGATTAGTAAGTTCGTGGATCATACAAAATTAGGAGGTATCGTTGATCGCGAAGAAGGTTATCAAAAATTACAGAGGGACCTTGATCAGACGGGGAAGTGGGCTGAGATTTGGCAAATACAATTCAATACAGATAAGTGTGAGGTGTTGCACTTTGGAAAGTCAAACCAAGGTAGGACTTATACAGTGAATGGTAAGGTCCTGAGGAGTGTTGTGGAACAGAGGGGTCTTCATTGGTTGAGGCACTGAGTGTAGAAGTTGGGACATTATGTTACAGTTGTCTAAGTCATTGGTGAGGCCACACTTGGAGTATTGTGTACAGTTTTGGTCACCCTGTTATAGGAAAGACATAGTTAAACTGGAAAGTGTGCAAAGAATATTTATGAAAATGTTGCCAGGACCAGTAGGCCTGAGTTACAGAGAGAGGTTGGCCAGGATAGGATTTTATTCCTTCGAATGTAGGAGAATGAGGGGTGACCTTATTGGGATGTATAAAATCATGACGGGCACAGATATGGTGAATGCATATCGTCTTTTTCCCAGGGAAGGGGAATTGAAAACTAGACGGCATAGGTTTAAGGTGAGAGGGGATAGATTTAAGAAGGATCTGAGGGGCAACTTCTTCACACAAAGGGTGGTGTGTATATGGAATGGGCTGCCAGAGAAAATAGTTGAGGCAGGTACAATAGCAACATTTAAAAAACATTTGGATAGTTACATGGATGGGAAGGGTTTACAGGGATATGGACCAAATGCAAGCAATTGTAACTAGCTGAGTGGGCACCATGGTCAGCATGGACCAGTTTGGGCCAAAGAGCCTGTTTCCATGCTGTATTACTCTATGACTGATAGTAGCTAGGAAACGGTGGCTATAGTTGATTATGACAGGTTTGTGGGGATGGAGGGTGGTAAGTAGATAGGTGGAGTCAAAGCCCAGAGAGAGAAACAGACAGGCAGACAAACAGTTGACTGATAATAAGCTCAGAAAGGAGAAAAGCTCAAAACTGGGACAAAACATAGGTGAAAATAGATTGGCTGTGATGAAAGCAGCCCATGTCATGACAAGGTCTGGGTGTGGGGTTGTGTAAAGGACATGGATGAGATATTCAGGCCATAAGATTATTGGACTTGATATGGAGTCCTGAAGGCTGCAGGATCCCCACACGGAAAATGAAATGCTGTTCTTCCAGCTTGTACTGAGCCTCAGTACAGCAAGCCCAAGGCAGAGGTGTTAGCAATGGGACACGGCAGACAATTGGAAGCTCAGGGTCATTTTTACAGACAGAAACTAGGTGTTCTGCAAAGCGGTCATCCAGTCTATGTTCTGTCTCCCCAGTGTGGAGGAGATCATATTGTGAACGGAGAACACACTAGACTGGATTAGGTAAATCCTTGCTTCATCTGGAAGGTGTATCTGGGCTTTGGACAGTGAGGAGGGAGGAGATAAAAAGGCAGGTGTTACACCTTCTGTGACTGCATGGGAAGGTGCTGTGGCAGTGTTGAGAGTGGATGAGAAGAAGACAAGGAGAGGGCCAGGATGTCCCAAAGGGAACAGTCCCTATGAAATGTCTGCAAGGGAGGATGGGAATGTGCGTCTGATGATGGCTTCCCACTGGAGATGGTGGAAATGGCAGTTTATGATTCTTTGGTTGCGGATGCTGGTTGTGTAAAAAGCAAGGACTGGGGACTCTATTGGTGCTGTGGGAGGGGTGAGCGAGATGGGTCAGACACAGCTGAGGGCGTTGTGGAACAGCGTGAACCATAGTGGCAGGAAATCCTCAGTTGAACATAAAGGTGGACATTTCTGAGGCCTCCCTGCAGAAGGTGGCATCATCAGAACAGATGTAACAGAGACAGAGAAATTGAGAGCATGGGATGGAGATGAATTGAACTGAATTTCCCCAGAAAACAGAGGAGGCTGGTTCATGCATTTATTCAAGGCTGAGTGAAGTTGATTTTTGATCGAAAAGAGAATCAAGGGTAATAATGGGACAGACATGGAGTTGATCATCACAACCAGATCAACCACATAATTTTATCAAATGGCAGAGCAGCTCAAAGCACCGAATGGCCTACTCCTGTTCCAAGTCCTTTGTTTGTATTCATATGATTTATGAACTTTACACACCCTCAGGATATCCCACAGCACTTTACAATTAATTGAGTACTTTTGAACTTTTACAATTTTGATTAGGAAACACAAATAGTAATTATCATACAGCAAAGTCCCAAGAACAGCGACATGACAACATTCAGATAACCT